CATCCTCAGCTTCAAACCCATGTGCCTTCTCCACTTCAGGCACACATACTGGAACAAGGTACAGTCCCTTCTCTAACTTGGCCTCCATCACCACAGCTCCACCCTTGCGAACCGTGCACCCTCCCATGGTGAAGGTGCATGCGTATCCTTGCCTAGCAAGCTGAGAGCATGAGAGGAGGTTGGCTGCCAATCCTGGAACATGAAGCACACCCTTCACATGGAGCACCTCCCCCTCCTTCCCCTTAATGGTGATGGTGCCGATGCCGGTTGCTTGCAGCGTATCTCCGCTCCCCACGATCACATTTCTTGAGTTAGGTGGGAGGGAGTGGTAGGTGGTGAAGAGGTCACGCCGTGGTACCATTCCACAAGTGGCACCAGAGTCTAGAACGAGGTGATTGGGGTCAGCCAACACGCGGCCAGCAAGCGCCGTCTCCTTCTCCAAGGTAAGGAAGGAGAAACCGTCATCCGACGAGTCCTCCTTTCCCTTCCCACCATCATTTGCCGCTGCTGCCGCCGCTTTTCCTTTGCTGCCCTTCTTGTTCCAGGCTCCATTCTTCATCCTCTTCTCCACCCACTCAGGCCTAGTGACAGGTGGAGCCTCTCCTGGGTACCCTTGAGGCTTCCACCCATCTGGCCGGCTCCAACACTCCTTCCACGAGTGCTTCCGGTTGCATCCAGGGACGAGGCACTTGTCTATCACCTTCTTCTTCCCCCCACCTCCTTGCCGCTGCTGGTACTTCTTGGAGGCAGCCCTATCACCTGCCCCCATTCCCCCTTCAACTCCTCTACCAGCATCCCGTTTGCGAGCCTCATCAGAGACCAACACCTCCCATATCCAGGCCTTGGTCCATTTCTGCTGCTCAAGGTGAAGGTACTGCAGTAGGGCCTCGTTCGCCTCTTGGTCCAGCCCCTGGAGTGCGGTGTAGATGATCTCCTTCTCATCTACAGTGTAGTTCAACTCCTCCAAGGCTCTCACATACTCATCCACCCTCTGGAGATACTGCACCATGGTCTCCCCATCACCATAGTTGCGTTCCATGGTGTAGAACCGCTTCCTCCAGGTGAGTATGCTTAGTAGTCCTTTTTGCAAATGTCGATCTTGAACTCTCTTCCATGCTTGGGCAGCTGCTCCTTGCTTCCCCTTCAAATCAATCAGCATCTTAAGGAGCTCTAATTGGCCTTCCAAGGCCCAACACAGGTACTGGAACGCTTGCTTGTCCTTGCGGTCCCATGCTTCCTGTGCCTTAAGTAGCTCCTCCGCACTAAGCCGTTGCCTTCCGGTTCGTGGTGCTGCTGATCCACCTCCACTTCCCTCACTTACAGATGAGCTAGAGGCTCCCCCAGCCCCTTCTCCCACTTGGCTAGAGACTCCAGTAGATGCCTTTCCTTCATCAGCTTCAGGTCTTCGCTCCGATCCCTCCAAAACGCCCTCTAGGTCTTTAATACCTAGCCAAAGCGTAAACTGGAACCGCCATAGCGAAAAATCCGAGCCGGTGAACCTAGGAGGGCCATCTAATTTCTGGGCCATGACCAACCCTAGATCTGGAGGTTCTTAAGCCAATTCGAAATATGATAATAAGAGGGAATGTCGCAGGCCTAACCAGCTCTGATACCACTGATGGAAAGCGCGCGAATCTGGAGAGCATAACAAGAGATTAAGTCTGCCGACTTCGGCAAACCATTGCGTGCAGCTCACGTAACCTTAAAATATGAGCAGGTACGCGTTGGAAAGGTCTTAATCTCTACGTTCCAGAATAATAAAGCACACCTTCAACCAAGATCTAGGCCGATCGCTATCGCGATTTAAGTGCGACGGGGTATCCTGGCGGAATTACTTGGAAGCCATGGATTAGATCTAGGAATGGCTTAAGCAAGAGTTCAGATCTGAAAAGTGACGAGTTTGTCAAACCCTACCAACCCAACCCTCGCCCTACAACAATCCCCAACAACCCAAAATGCCAAACTAGCAACACCAAAGGTGTTGTAGTGAATAGCAAAGGTTTGTTGGGGTCGTTGGGTGCGAGATCAATTCCAGCCCGCAACAAGTCTAACCACCACATTTTGCCCAAACCCTTAGCCCACAACCAGCTAGAGCAAAATACTACAACCACCTACACAATCAACAATACCGACTTCGGCCTCCGGCGATGAGGGGAGCAGTGGGGCGTCGCCTTTGGCGCCGACCACGGGCATCGCCGGTGGCCGACGGGGCGTCAAACAAGTCGGCGTGGAAGCAGAGCAGCAGGCCGAGGAGCCAACGCCGACAAAGGCGAAGGGGGCGGCTGCAGGGAAGCTGCCGATAGGGGAGCAGAGGACGGTGGAGCCGACAGGGAAGCTGTCAGCAACGGAGATGTCGGTCAGGGAGCCGACAACAGGGGAGAAGTCCGCTGGGACGCCGGCTTCGGTGCAGCAGGACGCCGAGAATTGTGAAGTCGGCGAAGCTGAAGGGGAGCAGTCGGACGCCGGGCAGTCCACTGATAGCGATGTAGTGGAGGTCAACTCCGAGCAGCCTGAACTGCGACGTTCAGGCCGAGTCCGGAGGCCGCCGGAGCGGCTAACCTATCATGTCTGTCTCCCGCCAGCTGCCTTCTCCAGGATGTACGACAACGACGACGACGACCTGGCGTACGACGACGCCGAGGACGATGAGGAGTTTCAGGAGCTCGACCCCGAGCACCGCTGGGACATCGCAACGATGACGGTGAAGGAGGCGCTGGCAAGCTCGAAGGGTAAGGCGGTGAAGGCTGCCATGGACGAGGAAATACGGAGCCTCATCACGAACGGTACGTGGGAGCTCGTTGAACGCCCCCCCGGCGTCAACATCATGAAGAACCGGTGGATGCTGACTACGAAGTACCGCATTGATGACACAGTCGAGCGCGAGAAGGCGAGGTTGGTCGTGAAAGGCTTCACGCAGGTGTATGGCGCCGACTACGACGAGACGTACGTGCCGGTGAGCAGCTACGTCACGCTGAGGATCTTCCTCAGCATCGTCGCTGTCCTCGACCTCAACCTGATGCAGCTGGACAAGTGCTGTGGCTGCACCAGCAGAGCTACGCCGACAAGCTGCGTAGGCGTTTCCTCGACAAGGAACAGGGCGGTCGGACCCCGAAGACGCCGGTCTCTGTTGACGCCTACGCCGAGCTCACCTTCAACGACGAGGAGGCACAGGAGCGCCAGGAGGAGGAGTACCGGAAGAAGGTCGACTCGCTGCTGTAGTTCGCGGCGACGACGACGAGGCCGGACATCGCCTTCGCCTGCAGCAAGCTGGGGAGCGGCCTCACGGTGAGGAGCGATCAGCACTGGCGCGAGGTCGATCGCTGCCTCGCCTACCTCGCCAACACGCGCGACACCGCCCTGGAGTTTGGCGGTGGTTCGGAGTCGTTGGAGCTGGTCGGCTACGTGGACGCCGACGACGCCGGCGACAAGCAGAACTGGACGAGCACGGGCGGCTACGTGTTTGTCTACGGAGGAGCCGCGGTCTCCTGGTCGAGCCAGCGCATCAAGTGCGCGATGCTGTCGTCGACCGAGTCGGAGTACGTGGCGGCAACAGAAGCCGGGAAGGAAGGGCACCAACTTCGCTTCCTCCTCGCAGAGTTCCGGCAGCTGGACGCCGGGAAGCCGACTGTCCTTCGGGTGGACAACAAGTTGGCCATCACAGTCGCCGAGGGCATGGGGTTGACGGGCAACCTCAAGCACATGGAGCGACGTCAGGCCTGGCTGCAGCACATGGTGAAGCGCGGGAATTTCGCGTTGAGGTACATCCCGACCACCGAGCAGCCGGCCGACTTCCTGACAAAGGCGCTGCACTACCCGGCCTTCAACCCATGCTCCGTCATGATCGACCAAGTGCGCCTGGCCGAAGTCGGCGACGGCGACAACGACGTGCAGCAGTAGGTGCCATGCCCTCTTGCATGGCTGGTGCGGTGTTTGGCGTGTTGTTTGTTGTGTGCACGCCACCGAGCTATTCTCCGAGTAGTGCTGCCGTGTGGGCAGGGGGCCCAAGCTAGAACGCGGCAGGGGAGTGTCAACGGGAGTAGTGTTTGGCCCCGTCCTCGCTTGGGCGGAGCCGACCTTGTGGTCGGGTGTGCGAGGGAGACGCAACCGACCTGCAGCTGTGGGTACGGGGGCCACTGCGAGGACGCCGAGCTGGCGGACGCCGTCCTTGGCGTCTGGACGGCGTCCTGGGCGTCTGCACGGCGTCCTGGGCGCCTGGACGCCGACTTGGGCGTCTGCTCGGCGTCCCGGGCGCCTGGACGCCGACCTGGGCGCCTGGACGGCGTCCTGGGCGAGTGGACGCCGACCTGGACGCCAGGACGCCGACCCTAGACGCCGGGTTCGGTGTAGCCGGGGCCGACTGGGCTGGACGATCAGGCGGGGTTGTCCGGTAGTCCGGGATACCCGGGCGACGTGTGCGAAAGTCGCCGGGATGGTTTCTGCGAAGGCGACCTCGGGGGTGGTATCCCGAGGTCGACGTGGCTGGTGGGCGCAGTCGCTGGCGTGGAGTCTGCTAGGCGTCTGCGCTGTGCTCGTGACGAGGTGTGGAGCACCAACCAGCTGCACGCACCTGCGAAGCAGGTGCACCGTTGTCCTGCGAGTGCAACGCTGTGCAGCCGACTTACTGCAGCGTTGGCACACCGTATACTTACAACGTTGGCAAGCCGCTACTTTGCTGCGCTGGAGCGGTGCGAGCTCTGCTGCGCTGGACCGCGGTCGACCGTGCTGTGCTGGAGGTCGACCAGCAGCCTAGCTAGCTCTGATGTAGTCTGGGTTGCCAATGTTGTTGCTATCATTCTGAAACATTGTTGTGAACCTTTGCTAGTGGAACTCTTGCCAATTTTCCCCGTAGATGCGCAAGTAGTGTGAGCACAAGCAAACGACTAAGGAACGAACGCAAAGATCACTCCTACCTTGTGCCTAGCCCGCTGTCTAGCTCTCGTTGATAGAGTTATCTCCGCAGAGCAGGGATGACAGTGAGGAGGGGTGGGATCCCGAGAAGGATGGTGGTGGGGAAGGGGGGGGTGATGATGACGACGAGTTGGATGGGTTGGAGCCATAGGAGGTGGATGAGGGGGTGGGAGAGGGTGGAGGGGTAGAGATAGAGGCGGCCTCACAGCACGTGGCGGAAGGAGGTGGGAGTGTGGGGGTTAAGGTGGGGAGGAAGCGAGCGTCTATTGGGATGTCGAAGCGGAGGAAGAAAGCTCCCAAGTTAAGACCGCGAGCGTATCCATGCACATTCACTAGGGAGCCCTTGGGAGAGGGTGTCATCGCGCCTAAGTTTCTTGACAAGGAGGGGGGGTCCGAGAGTAGTAAGGGGACTGGCAAGGGGAAGAAGAAGCTGGGGTGGCAAGTCCAGATGTTCGGGCCCCAAGGGACTGACTACAAGCGTCAGTGCAAGATTTGTACCGATAGGATTTCGTGGAAGGGTTCCACTACCACACCAGACGAGCGTCATTTCGATAGCTACCACACAGCGCACATGCACGTGTGGTATCACCGGTACCACACTCCACACGTTCAGTTACCTGGTGAGACGTTTCCTAGAGGGGGGTACGTGGGTGTGCCAGATGGATATGTCGAGGATTGGTCGCACGCCAAGAGCTGGTCGAATGTCCCACAGAACAAAGGGAAGGCAGGGCGAGGGGAGCAGAGGTCGGGAGGGATCGAGCGTTTCATGACGACCAAGCTGTCCCAGGCGCAGCTTCGGCAGGCGATCGCCAAGCTGGTGGTCACCTGCGACCTTCCCTTCCGCGTTGTCGAGTCCGAGGCGGTGAGTGTCCACATGCCTGCTTTGGTGTGCTGCGTGCATGATTTGGACAGTACACTGTACATGGTTTGAGGAGGATGTTGAGGGATGATATGGAGGTCTGATGGTGCCAACATGCCACTCCTTCTCCACCACATTTCCTTGCCTTATAAACCATCTCTTCATTTCGTTGTGCTATTTTCCCTACAGTTTTGAGAGTTGTTGGTGTTAGAAGGAAATGCTGCCATGAGCAACAAAGTGTCGGCGCTGGGATTCGAACTCGTAACCTTCAAATCTGACCTGAAAGTGTCTCTGGACATATTCATGACAGTTTCTGCTAAGGTGCTGGTTATGCTGCATGCGAGTTTCGAACTGGAGACCTTTCGATTCAAGTGTCCCGAAAGTGTCTTGTCAGGACAGATTGGGGACAGTTTGGGGACAGATTGGGGATAGTTTGGCGAAATCGATCTCGGGTCGCGTTCGGTTTGAAACTCGGCAGCGAAGTGTCGAAGTCAACGGAATTCGCACGGGAGTTACAGTCGGTGGTCGACGGAATTCTGGTCGCGGAAATTCTCGTCTACGGAATTCCAGTCAATAGAATTCGCCCGGCAAAATTCAAGGCTCGGAATTTCGCGTCGACGAAATTCAGCGCGCGACCCGGGTCGACACTTTCTTGTGTGCTTTGTTTTTGTATTGCGTCCTAGTATAAAACCAGAAAGCACAAACAAGAATTCATCCAAGTCATTACTACTGCTATGTTTGTGTGTATCTCTGGCTATAGTGGACCGTTTCCTGCAATCTTTGGTGCGTTGGAATCATGCTTTTGAGCTCTATCAATCTGCTATCATAGTGGAATTCTACATGGTATCAGAGCTACGTTATCTTCGTCGATCCAACTAGTGGCTTGATTCCATCCTCCCGTCACTTCGTTCTCACGTTGGTGTGGCCGACGCTCATTTTGACCGCGGATGGAGTAGTTAACAAGCGCCAAGGGCCTGAATGCCCGTCAGGAGCTAGAGGCGTCCGTTCGTGAGCACCGCCCTAACTTGCGTGATGAGGAGATCGACCTCATTGTGGATGGTCGACTACTACGCATGGTTCGGGAGCGCGCTGCAGAGCAAGCACCTGCGAGCGGCCAGCAAGGAGGAACCGGTGAAGGAGGAGCTTGGCACGAGGCTCCTACTGCCATGGGCGTTGGTGGAGGAGCTGTTGCACCGAACATTGACGCGGGAATGATTGGGGCGAGCTACGGCCAACTCAAGTTTGGAGTAGAGCACATCTCCGTGATGCCGCTGCTGGAGGGAAGGCACGACCTCACCGCGTGGGTCAGCGCCATCCGACCTCAACTCCAGTGTGCTGATTTGTGGCAGTTTTGCAATGGGACAGCACCAAGCCCGGCCCCAAACAACCCCATACAACGAAGGGAGTACGCGAAGGGCCAAATGCTCGCATTCATGGTGCTGAATCGTTGTGTTTCTCCACCCATCCGAATGTCTATTGCTGGTTTCTCTCAGCAAGAGAAAGCCGGGCAGATGGCATGGGCATACATCTTGTCTACCTATCAAGCTCGTGATGCCCTCCACGCTTCCCTACTTCAGACCTAGTTAGCCCAACTCAGGAAGGGAGATGATGAGACGGCGGAATCCTACTGCAATAGGGCCCGCACCATCCAAGCGGAGCTGCTGACCATTGGACAGGAGGTCCACATGGCCACGTTTGCTGCTCACGTGCTGAAGGGCCTGCCATCGGAGTACGGGTTTCTTCGCCGCAAGCTTGACATTTCCAGCCCTGACATGACGGTGGAACGTGTGTGCAGCGAGGTGTTGATGGAGGAGCAGACTCTCTCCATTGAACAGAGCTACAAGCAGATCACCACTGATGCATCTGCTTTCTCGGGCGCTGTCAACACAATCGTGGCTTTAACGGGGGTCAACGGGAAGGAAGGAAAAGGGGGAAAGGAGCAGACGGACAAGAAGAAGGATGGCAAGCGGGAGAAGAAGCGAGCCCCCTTCAAAGGGCGCCGATACAACTGCAATGAGGAGGGGCACATGGCTGCCAAGTGTCACAACAAGAAGAAGGATGCAACGCCTACAGCAGCCGCGAACATAGCTGAAGGAGACGGGAAGGGCGTGGCGCTCACCGTCGCGTGTTCGGCTGCAAAGTTGCTGGCCTATGACAAGGACTTGTGGTTCCTCGACTCGGGGTGCTCCCAACACATGACCGGCCGAAAGGAGTGGTTCACGGTGATTCGTGACCCATCTGCAACAAAATCCGTCAAAGGGTTTGATGGTTCTATGCAGGAAGTCGCCGGTGTTGGTGAGGTTTTGTTGAAGGGCACTAACGGCTTGCGTGTGACCCTACATGATGTCCTCTTTGTGCCAGGAATGAAGGCCAACTTGGTCTCCCCTGGGCAGCTCACAGACAAGGGAGCAAACCTGCAAACCGAAGAAGGTGTGACTCGCATCATCGCATCGGGAGGACAAGTAGCTGCAACGGCACGCTACTGCCATCATCTTCTCTGCCTTGACCTGAAACCATGGCCAGCAAGCAACGGTACGATGGCTGCAACGGCATGCAACGGCACGGTGGCTGCAGCGGCATGCAACGGCTCGACGGCTGCAGTGAAATGCAACGGCATGGCTAAAGCTATTGCTGAAGTGGCGTCAAGCAACCCGAGAATGAAGGCAGGAGCGGCCAGCCTCAAGGTGTACGCGGTGGGCACGAAGGCAACGCCCGACCTGTGGCACGCTCGCCTTGGGCACATCCACTTCGATGCAGTGAAGCGGACAGCCACGAGCAGCGGCATGTTCGGCATGGACCTGGAGAAAGGAGGTAAGGATATGCCGTGCACCTCCTGCTATGAAGCAAAGCTCACTCGCCAAACATTTCCGCTGCACGACGAGCGAGAGGAGCAGGTTCTTGGGCTGGTCCATACTGACGTGTGCGGTCCATTTCAGACCCCAGCCATGGACGGAAGCAGGTACTACATCCTTTTCGTGGACCATGCCTCGCGATACACCTGGGGGAAGACATTGAAGTTGAAGAGCGACGCGCTTGCTGCCTTCAAGGAGTGGCTTCCCGAAGCTGAACGCCAGACCGGGATGACGCTGAAGGTGTTGCGATCGGGCCGGGGAGGAGAGTTTATGTCAAACGAGTTCTTGCTGCTGCTGAAGGAATGAGGAATCCTGCATCAACTTTCCTGCCCTTCCACCACCCAACAAAACGGTGTGGCTGAACGCCGCAACCGTACGGTAACCGAGGGCATGCGTGTGATGTTGGGGCACATGGGGGTGAAAGCACACTGGTGGCACTTTGCTTTTCAGCAGTTCTTGTGGGTGGTCAACCGTGTGCACCAGTCCACCCTGCCCCATGGTGTGACCCCTCATTTGGTGGTGTTCAAAGTCAAGCCCGATGTGTCCATGGTCCGTGTGTTTGGATGCATGGTGCAGTACCTCATTCCTGAGCGTGAGGGGAAGCTTGCAAGCAAGACTCGTTGGGGCATGCATTTGGGCATGAGCATGGAAAGCAAGGGATGGCGTGTGGTGGATGTTGAGTCCAAGCGCATGGTCATCACCCGGGATGCACGTTTCTATGAGGATATGTCACTTGAACGGTGGCAGAAGTGGCGTGCACGCGCTGGTGATGGGAATGACCAGCCCACACCACCCTTTGCTTCAGTCCCATCTCTCTTTCCTGAGCCCCACGACCCCGAGCAGAATCTGCCGCCACCACATACCGTCATCGTGGTCCCAGTGCCGTCCGTGCAAGGGGGCGAGCAACCCCTTGATCGTTCGGTGGGCCCCATGGGCAGCAAGGCACCCTCTGCACCTCCCCCTCTCGATCCACTCTCCGTTGCTGATTCGGCGCCCATGGGACCAGAGGACGGTCACCTTGAGGACGGAGGTGGTACGGCTGATCATGAGGAGGACGGAGAGGTAGCGGTGGATGAGCGACCATCGGTGGCCCATGAGCATGAGCCTTCATATGCAGTCCCCCCTGTCCAGCCCACTCCTCCACCCCACGTCCCTCCAGCAGGCCCAACAAGGGGGTGCCACCCGTACGGTTTCAGCCATCAGCCATGTCGGCCCAGGATGCGGACTATGAGGAGAACCCGTATGACATGGCGTACCTTGCTGAGGACGACTGCGACACGGACAGCGATGACGAAGTGGAGTACCTGGACAAGAATGAGGAGGAGGAAGGCGCTTGGGGAGGTGTCATCCTCGACCTGGCAGCTGCGTTGACCGGACCTGAAGGCAAGGAATGGTGGGCTGCTATGAAGGAGGAGATGGAGAGCCTTGATGAGCAAGGCACTTGGTCGTTGGCCGACCTACCCGAAGGTCGCAAAGCAGTCGGCGCAAGTGGTTACTGAAGAAGAAGCTACGGCCTGATGGCACCATGGAGAAGTACAAGGCCAGGCTCATGGCAAAGGGCTTCAGCCAACGCTTCGGCATCGACTACGACGACACCTACGCTTCTGTTGGCAGCTACACCACCGTTCGCATGCTCCTCTCAATCGCTGCAGCTATGGACTTAGATTTGCTGCAGCTTGATGTGAAGAATGCATTTCTTTATGGCACCATCGACCACGAGATCTACATGCAACAGCCGCCCTACTTCACCGATGGTAGCAGCAAGGTGTGCCTCCTGCACAAGAGCCTTTACGGACTCAAGCAGAGTCCCCTTCCGTGGTACAAGGAGCTGAACAAGGTGTTCCTTGTGGAGGGGTATAGGAAGAGCCTTGTGGACCAGGCCCTATACTACAAGGATGGGGTGAGCGGGAAGCGAGTGTGGCTGCTTATCTACGTGGATGACCTGCTAGCGGCAAGTGAAGACAAGCAGCTGCTGCAGGACCTGAAGAAGCTGCTGGCCAAGGTGTTTCAGCTCGGTGAGGTGGAGCCGGCGGAACGTTACCTGGGGCTGCAGATTGTGCGCGACCGCCCCAACAGGACACTCTTCTTGCACCAGAATGCATATGTGGCAAAGGTGCAGCAGCGGTTCTTCAAGGGGGCGCCACCGAAGAAGCAGCCCATCGCCCCTCTCTCCTCTGCCAGCTTTCCCAAGCAGGATGCTGGGCAATTTGCCGACCGAACCATGACCGAGTACTTGTCAATTCTTGGCATGGTGCAGTTTGCAGCCATCTCAACCCGTCCTGACCTCTCTTTTGCGTGTAGCCGCCTTGCAGCAGGTGCACACCTAAGGACAGATGCCCATTGGCATGAGCTCTTCCGCACACTCTCCTATTGGGCTGCCTCACCGGACATGGGGTTGCTGTTCAAGGGAGGACCAGATAGCTTATCGCTGGTAGGGTATGCGGATGCGGATGATGCGGGCGACAAGGAGAAACGGTCGTCCACAGGAGGCTACCTCTTCAAGCTTGGGGGAGCTGCAGTCTCGTGGCAGGCTAAGAAGCTACAGGGTGCGACCAAACTTTCCTCCACCGAAAGCGAGCTTGTGGCTGCGGTGGAAGCGGGAAAGGAGGGGCCCAAGCTAAGGTTCCTACTGTAGGAGTTTCAACTGCTCAAGAAGGGTGTTCCCACCACCCTGTACGTCGACGACATGTCAGCGGTGCAGCTCAGCCAGGCGGGCGAGCTGCAAGGGCGCATGAAGCATGTGGACCGTCGCCACATGTGGCTGCAGGACATGGTGCGCATGAAGAAGTTGGAGCTGCAACACATCCCCACGACGGCGCAGCCCGCGGACTTCTTCACGAAGCGGCTCGACAAGGCAGCCTTCAACCGATGCTGTGCAGCAGCCGGGCTAGTCCAGCGTGCTCCTGACAGCAAGGGGGCGTGTTAGAAGGAAATGCTGCCATGAGCAACAAAGTGTCGGCGCTGGGATTCGAACTCGTGACCTTCAAATCTGTCCTGAAAGTGTCTCAGGACAGATTCAGGACAGTTTCTGCTAAGGTGCTGGTTATGCGGCATGCGAGTTTCGAACTGGAGACCTTTCGATTCAAGTGTCCCGAAAATGTCTTGTCAGGACAGATTGGGGACAGTTGGGGACACTTTGGCGAAATCGATCTCGGGTCGCGTTCGGTTTGAAACTCGGCAGCGAAGTGTCGAAGTCAACGGAATTCGCACGGGAGTTACAGTCGGTGGTCGACGGAATTCTGGTCGCGGAAATTCTCGTCTACGGAATTCCAGTCAATGGAATTCACCCGGCGAAATTCAAGGCTCGGAATTTCGCGTCGACGAAATTCAGCGCGCGACCCGGGTCGACACTTTCTTGTGTGCTTTGTTTTTGTATTGCGTCCTAGTATAAAACCAGAGAGCACAAACAAGAATTCATCCAAGTCATTTCTACTGCTATGTTTGTGTGTATCTCTGGCTATAGTGGACAATTTCCTGCAATCTTTGGTGCGTTGGAATCGTGCTTTTGTGCTCTATCAAGCTGCTATGGTAGTGGAATTCTACATTTGGTCCTCCTCAACACCAATTGCGCAAATAAGAAATTCATCCCATCGCGCTGGACGGTATCACGCGACACAGTGGTGTTTGCTGAGGCTGCCCTCCAGTCCGCCGTTGCTGAGTTGATGGCGAAGGAGGGGGGGCTGGGATGCAAGGTGTCGTTCACCATCGACATGTGGACGGCACCCAACGGCAAGGCATGGCTTGTGGTGACGGGTCACTAGATCGACGAGAACTTTCAGCTGTCCACTGTCGTGCTAGAGTTCCGCGAGATGCTTGGGCGTCATACCGGCGACGATATGGCGCATGTGGTGGAGGAGACGGTGGTGCAGTGGGGGTTGCAGAGGCGTTGTCTTGGTCTCACGACCGACAACGCCTCTAGCAACATTGCCGCCTTCAGGCGGTTGTCAGAGGAGCGGGGTGGTTTAGGCTTCTTCAACTCTCGCATGCACTTCCGGTAAGTATGGGAGTGTGCGTGTGATGGGGTGTGTGGGTGTGTGGTCGAGACCATGCCACATCACTCCCCTATGGCATGCACCATGCTACCTCCCCTCCCCCAATGCCATGCATGCACCATGTCACCTCCGGCCCCACCCCAATGCCATGCAGCATGCCACCTTCCCCAATGCCATGCACCATGTCACCTCACCTCCCCCAATGCCATGTACCATGCCACCTCCCTCCCCACCCCTATGCCATGCACCATGCCACCTCCCCCAATGCCATGCATCATGCCACCCACAATGCCATGCACCATGCCACCTCACCTCCCCCAATGCCACGCGCAGGTGTTTGGCACACGTGATCAACCTTGCAGTGCAGGCAGCGCTGGCTGTGGCGACCATCCGCAGGCTGTTGAAGATCCTGAGAGCCATGGCGACGTGGATAGGATTGACACCGCAGTGCTCGGCGGCTTTCTTGGGCTTTCAGCGGACCTTCAACATGCAAGCCAACAGCAACAAGAAGGCGCTGAAGCTGGTGCAGGACAACCCCACTAGGTGGGGGTCCACCTACGACATGGTCGACCGCACCTGTGCTCTGCAGAACCCCATCATGATGTACTTTGCCTCTACCCAGGTATGACAGCTGGGTCTTGATTGGAAGAATTGGGCAGGGTGGGTTCAGATTATTGATCAACTCTTATGGTCGAGCTTGTATGTTGCTTGAACCCCAAATGCTCCATTCAACTTGATTCCACTTAACACAACCCTTCCCATACCATACCATACCATACCAATCCCGCACACTGACAGGGTCTATCGAAGGACGACAAGAAGAAGGTAGCGAAGATGCGCCGGACAGACGCGGATTGGGAGAGGTTGCAGGCGGTGAAGACCTTCGTAAGCCCCTTCGCCAAGGTTTCAAAGGCCGCTGAGGGGGCGGCGTACCCGACGGTGTCGATGGTGGTGCCGTACTACAACGGCTTGATCGACGCCATAGAGGCGCGGCTGGCCAAGGGGCCATCAGCGATGCTAGAGCCGATGGTAGTGGCGGCGCTGCGCCATCTCAAGAAGTACGCCTACATCACCAGCAATGAGTACTGGATCTGCACCTTCTTGAACCCCTCCATGAAAGCGGCGTGGTTTGACGATGCGCACTGGGAGAAGATGCATCCTGACACGCCGAGGAGGGAGAGGCCGCGTCCCTCGTCCAGGGAGGTGATCACGCTGGTACGAGAGCGCGTGGTCGAGTACCAGGCCCGGGCTACAGAGCTTGCTCCCCGGCCGACTACGCTTGCCATCGTCAGGGAGGAGGATGAGGGGGAGGAGGGGGATGACGAGGACGCCCAGTAACTTCCTAGTCGCCGGCGACTTGCGGCACGACTGTCGGCGAGCCAGGCGGCCGGGGGGGGGGGGGGAGGGGGCTGGTGCCGGATAACGAGGTTAGCAGGTACTTGTCCGAATGGGTGCGGCCCGATGTGACAGCGCTAGAGTACTGGCGCACAGCCACCAACATGCAGACGCTGAGATGCATGGCAAGGGATTATCTTGCCATCTCTGTTCGTTTGAGGTCATGGTACAGTTCACACCCTGGCCAGGGGATCGGTGAGGGCCGGCGTCCGAGAGGAGTTGCAGGGCCCGAGTTCGCCATTGAGGGCGAAGGGGTGGATGTGGACGACGACGAGGAGGAGGAGGAGCATGAGGGGGCCGACGCAGCGAGGGGCGGGGATGATGTTGTTGGAGGCAGTGGGACCATGGCGTAGTAGCAAGTTGTGTGGTGGTGTTGTGCTACTACAGTAGTGTTGTTAAGCAGAACGTGTTATATTTGGATTTGGTACATTGCATTGCATGAACACGTAAAAATCCACAAACCTGCCCTCAATTCATTATGCAGGGTCCACATCTAGATCTGGCCACAGTGTGTGAATGTGACTATGGTGAATATACACCCTGGGCAAACACGAACGTGTTTGCCACGAACACGTTCATGTTCGCCCATGGCAGCTAGGTGTTCGCCTTCACTGGCGAACACCGAACACTATTTCTTTAGTAAACTGTTCACCGAACCGAACACTGTTCAGTTGGCGGTCAGCACCTTCAACAAATACACATGAACAAGAAATTTGGTTCCTAAAGTAATTGTAAGGAAAAACCCTTTTTCCTTACTGGGGTTTACTCAACCGCGTACAACCCCAACTTTCGGAAGTGCACGTTCGGCCACTTTGCTTGCTGCCGAAGCAACCTCGCGTCGCCTTCGGCTTTCCCTTGCCCAACCTGCATCCAACCTCGTATCCCCGAGGTTCTCGCCTAGCTAGGTTGACCCGCTACATTATCGCATGCCTTTCATTGTATCGTCAGTTCGTTTAGTCACGAGCTCCATTATTTGTTTTCCGCGCAACTCTGTTTGACAACTCATAACACCTGGTATCAGAACTACTTTCCTAGTTCACCCCACTTTTCTAGGGTAGTTTAGTGGCACGGGTGTGACTGGTATGTGGGCTGCAAAGCGGTTGGTTGCTTTGTTTATTAAATTAAACTTGCCCGACTCCGATAGCTTTTGCGCTTGCACTGTTGCCGGATAGTCACGGATACTAGTTGCCAACTAGACAAAGCTTGCGACACATGGATCAGGCGGCATCTAACGCATTGTTGCAGCAAGTGGCGGAGATGTCGGCAGGCATGAAGGCGTTAACGACAGAGGTGGAGAGACTACGTGAAGAAAACAACGAGCTACGCCAGGCGCGAGGTGAAGCGCGCCAGGAGTCGCCCGCTGAAGAAGGCGAGAGCACTGATCAAGTGGTGAGCAGCAATCTGTTAGATGAGCTCACACGAGGCTTTGAAGAAGAAGATAGGCAGCGAGCGGCAGCGTCAACAGTTGCAGTGACAACGATCAATATAAAAATCTACGAGCCCGCCCCCGTTCAATCCTACAGACAAGAACACTATAGTTAAGGGGTGGTTGTTTGGCGTGGAGGCGTTCTTCACTGCAGCGAATGTTAACGGCAATGCCACACGTATTAATTTCGCGGTATTGCTCCTGCGAGGTCCAGCGCTTGAGTGGTGGCGACGAACCTTGGACACGGGGACCCCGATAGGCGTGACACATGAGGCAGACGGAACTTCAGACTCTGCAAATGGGAGGGCATCATCGATATTCGGTGTGGCCACAATTCGCACGTGGAAGCAGTGGGGCGCAGCCTTACGAGAGCGTTTCGAGCATGTATCCGCCTCGGAACACGCTCGCATGAAGCTGCGTACCTGGTCGCAGTTGGCTTCTGTTCAAGGCTACACTGCGTCGTTTATGGCGCTCGCGGATCAAGTGGACGACATGGCGGAAGTGGAGCGGCTCAAAAAGTATATCAGCGGCCTCAAATACAAGATACAGTACGAGGTGCGCAGGAGCTGCCCATCTACATTCAACGAAGCCGTCCGATTGGCCGAGAGCACAGACACGTTGATGCAGTGGGCGAGATCGAGTTCTCGGGAGGGAAACCGATTTCGTGGACAGAATCAGCGGGCCACGATTAACGGAGTCCGTGCACTAGACCGCCCTTTTACAGGGTTGTGTTTTAAGTGCGGGAAGCCGGACCAGATGTATAAAGACTGCCCCGACAGGACGCAGGGAAAGAGGAGCGACAGGAAAGATTCGGGAAATGGGAAGAGTCAGTAACAGACGGGCCCCTTACTGACTGTGCTCTGTCGCCCGAACCCCACCATCCCCACCGAGTCGTGGTTCCGATTCATGCAATCGATCGCACTTGGACGAATAACGGGGATAATCATGTGGATCACCCTGTGCTGTTTGTTGGCACTGTTGTTAAGAAAAAAAAAATGTTCGTCGATGGCGGAGCTAGCCATAGTCTCTTCAATCTGGCGACAGTAAAAAAAATGAAGCTGCCTCTTGACAGGTGTCTACCCAAAATTGACGCTCACCTTGCGGATAAGACGCCTATGGCGTTTTTGGAAGAAACACGGACGGTGCGGATTGAGTGCGGCGACGATTTCGGCTTCAGCATGAAGTCTTTCGCGACGACGTTGGATGGCTGCGATGTGCTCCTGGGGCGCGATTGGTTGCGATGGCACAACCCGATAATCGACTAGACGACGGGATCGTGCAGCATCAGCAAGCACGAGGGGCTGATTGCTCTGCCCGTGTGGACTCCGGACTGCATTGAGTCTACGTGCGTCAAGGCCATCACTATTACACGGCATTTCAACAGGGGTGCGCTGCTGTACGCCGTTCATCTGCGCGAGTTGGCAGCCGACACAGACGGAAACGACATCGAAAAGTTGTGTGCAGCTGTACCACCCGAGCTGGCGCAGCTGATTCGGCAATATCCCAAGATTTTCCCGGACGACCTGCCACCTGGACTACCACCCAAACGACCAGAAGACTACAGGTTCACCCTTGAGCCTGGCGCGCAACCGATTGTTCGTACACAATGGCGGCTGACTCAGCCCGAACTCGCGGAGCTTCAAAGTCAACTAGACTCACTATTGGAGAAAGGCTTCATCAGACCCAGTACATCGCCCTTCGCAGCGTCGATTCTGTTCACACCAAAGAAAGACGGCGGCATTCGCATGTGCATCGACTATCGCGCGCTCAACCGGGTTACCATCAAATGTCGTTATCCCATCCCACGCACCGACGACCTCCTCGACCAACTTCGCGGCGCTCGCTACTTCTCGAAGATTGACCTACGTGGCAGTTACCACCATATCAGAGTCTTCGCAGACGATTGTCACAAGACTGCATTCTGAACCTGCTACAGCAGTTACGAGTTTACAATGATGACTTTCGGCCTCACGAACGCCCCTTTGACTTTTCAACTGACTATGAACAGGGTGTTTCGCGACCTCCTCGACAATTGCGTTATCATGTGCTTGGACGATATTTTGGTTTTTAGCAGGATGCGCGAGCAGCATCTCCGTGACCTCGACGCAGTGTTTAAAAGGTTACAGGAGAACCGGCTCATCACCAAAGGCTCTAAGTGCGAGTTTTTTAAGCAGGAGATGGAGTTTTTGGGGCATGTCATCACACGCGACGGCATCAAAACGACCAAAGAAAATCAAGACCATTAAGGAGTGGAAAGCCCCTACTAATGTCACTGAGCTTCAAAGTTTTTTGGGGTTCGTGAATTACGTTCGGAGGTTTATCCCGAATATGGCGGGGATAACCGGCCCGCTGACCGACCTGCTGCACAAGGACATGAACTTCTTGTGGGGAGAGGAAGCTGAGGCGGCCTTTTAGGAGTTGAAACAATTGTTGGTGTCCCCTCCGGTTCTTCGCATCGCCGACCCATCCAAGCCGTTCAAAGTCGTCACCAACGCTTCAGATTTTGCCATCGGCGCAGTGCTGCTCCAGGATTTTGGCAACGGCTTACAACCGATCGCCTATGAGTCACGCAAATTACAGACATCCGAGCGCAACTACCCGATTCACGACAAGGAGATGCTCGCCATCATTTACGCGTTTGAACTGTGGCGCTGCTACCTGACAAGCTCCGGCGTCACGGTGCAAACGGACCACAAGTCGTTACAGTACCTTCGCGTGCAGCCCAACCTCAACCCGCGACAAATCCGGTGGCTCGATTACATGGAGTCACATTTTCATTACACGATCACCTACAAGAAGGGGGCAAATAAGATCGCCGACGCCCTGACCCGACCGACAGTCCAATCCGCTGCTGTATTGATCACCCACTCAAACCCGCTTCTTTCGGGGCTATTCACCCACGGCTACAAGACGGGCCCGTTCTTTACGACAGGCAATCACCTACAGGCGACGACGCAGAAGGGGGATTATTACATAAAAGCCGGAATTGACCGAGTCTGGGTACCTGCTTACCGCATGCTACGGGATCCAGAAGGTCTATGATTCGAACATCTCCTGACATTTCGGAGTTGACAAGACGCAGAAAATTATGCACCGTCAGTATTATTGGCCTGACTCTAACTCTGACGTGCAATGTTATGTGTCTTCATGCAGATTGTGCCAGGCAATGAAATGGACACGTCAACGCCCGACCGGCCTGCTGCAACCCCTTGAGCCACTCGAGCGACCGTGGCAGCAAGTGACAATGGTGATTTTATCACAGGGCTACCAGCTAACGCGTCCGGCAATGATGCACGCTGTACTCGTCGTCGTCGATCGCCTCACGAAAATGGCGCACTTCGCACCGTGTCGTACAACAATCACAGCCGAAGAAACTGCGCGCCTCTTCATCTCGACCGTCGTTCGCTTACACGGCATCCCATCTGCAATCATCAGCGAGAGGGACTTGAGGTTTACATAGAAGTTTTGGAAAGAGACGCGGGCACAGTACGGCACTCAGCTACAGTTCTCGTCGGCA